TAAAGTAGATAAAAGCATGCTTTCATCTGAGTTTGTTCTAACTACAAACTGTGAGCAGTTATTTTATGATGAATCCAGACATCCACCTGAGGTTTGCAAAGGTTCTGTCTTTGCTAACACTTTGAGAGTAACAAGTTTTTTTTAAGAGGATTAATGGATTTTTAGATCTTAAGGTAAGCTTGACTGCAATGTTGTGGGTCTCTACAGGAAAGCATTTTGAGGGAATATGGGTAGTCAGATACCCCAAGGCAAGGCTAATGGATTAACTCCTCTAAATAACCTCATGTTGTTGGGCAAAGCAAGTAGAAGATGACACTGGATAACATTTTACCGTTCGCTATGTCGCCACATGAGAATAATGTTTCACAGTCAACATCTCAGGGGCTTCCATCTTTTTGCTCTGCTTTTATGAAAGTAGCCACCTCAAGTCTGAGAGGCTGCTTTTAGCATTAGCGTTTGCACTTAAACTATTTGGGGTCATTCCTAGAATCAAAGCTGAGAACCAGAAAGAAAAAAATGGTACGGCTGAACAAGTCAATAAACAAGGGAAATGGTGGTGTTCTTAACTTCTCTAGACTACTGTTCCTGATTTCAGCCTCCCTAAGTGTGTTTATAGGACTCTGTGGTTCGCCCAAATCTTTCCATCAGGTAGCCATGGTTACTAGTGTAGGTAAATAACTCGTGATCAAGTAGCAACCTCAAGGGCTAAAAAAGAGACATGAAAAGTGCTAAAAACTGCAGTCCATTTTATAGCCATGTGAGGCTATCTATGTTTAAACTGCATTGAGATGAAAAGTTGGTGTGGTCAATCCGGTGCACAGGTGTCCTGCTCTGCTATTAATTGTACTAAAACAGACTTTAAGGAGTCAGCTATCCAGGCTTCATTTTAAAATTAGGAAACTGTTACAATAAGATGGAGAGATGCTAAATCAGAGACACAGACCTTCCCCAAAAAAGAAAGAAAAAAAAGAAAAGAAGACATATTGTAACTACATAGCATGTTAGACAGTGCTGCATCCCCGAGTGCTCGCCCCTCCTTTCAGCGGTGGGTAAATAGAATAATTACTGGGTGGTCAGTGTAGTGTGAAACGACAGCGTGACCACAGCACAATGAAACACTGCCCAAATGCTGACAGAACATGATGAGCACATGGCTGCCTGAATACAAAGTGTGCCTGTATTGGTGGCAGAGATAGAAAGGCGGAAAAGGAGTGAAAGTTTGTGTGCCGCACTGAAAAAAAAAGCAATAGAAACACATTGTGGTGGGACTAAATGCTATGCCTTTGGCAAACTTGTGCCGAAGTGATCTCCTAACCTCTTCCATGCAGCCGTAGACAATAGCAAATCCCTGCTAATGTAATCATTTGGACGAAATTTTAGACTTGAATTGTTTGCCGCTGAATTCAGTGGACCAGGTGCAAGAAAATGGCAATGTTGTGGATGAGGTCACTGCCCATTACGCAGTACAAAGCCAGAAAAGAGACCAAGCAACTTTTTCTTTCTGCCGTTTCTAAAAGTGAAATAAACTGTGTGCTACTGCTCTATACAACGTAACAATAAACACAACAACTAGTACTACAAAGGTAAAGTATAAAAGCTGTATGGCAATACATTATTGTAAAGGAGATGGAAATTTGAATATTTTCTCTTCAAGGTAACAGAAAATGGTGACAATGATGACAAATAAATAATTTTCAATGTAGGAAATGACAGCTGCATTCAAATACAAACAACACTGTAGAAGGTTTGGTGCCATTACACTCACCAACCACCCACTAATGACTATTGTCACAAACTTGCGCTACCTTTGCTATCCAGGTTCCAGGTTTCAGACTGATCCATTAAATGATAGTAATCATTAAGTATGTGCACACTGGAAACAAAGTGGAAGAAGAAAGAATGTTTACTCAATAATAAAACCAACTTATTACAGAACAGTTCAAGTCTTTGAACTGTTCTGTAGTAGGGTTATCATTTTAGCACTGCTTCTGCAAAACCCTGATACTGGCACCTCCTAAATTACAATTTTGTCTTGTTAATGGTCCGTTTTTACACGTTTATTATAATTATGTACAAAAAGACATCAGGGTACAGACCGAAAAGTATGTGTTAATGGAAACCAAAAGGAAAACAGCTCTCTGACAAAAAATTGGAAAGAAATGAGAACAAGTATTATGGAGGGGCATAAATTAGAAATGCTCAGATGCTCTGGCAGTGCAGGTGTGGTGGTGGTGGCTCAGTGTTGAATCAAACTGACATGATTTTTTTGACAGGACTGAAATCACTGTTGTCCCAGGAGAGCACCACTGTGTCTAGCAAAGTCACAGCATTTCTGTTTGCCTTGGAGCAGACCAGGCTGGTGGCTATTAGAGACCGTCACGATCCCATCCCCCCACCACAAAAACAAAAACGTGTGCAGACAGAGAAGTTCCAATGTGCACTTTGCTGGGTATACCTGTTGAACTGCTTGTTAACACAAATGTCTAATTAGCCAGAGTGAGATAAATTAGAAATGAGATTGAAAAACCGATGGAAGCGTCAGGCTGGAGGGACCCGCTGATTAGGCTCTTCATTTATGGAATGCATTATAAATATCTGCTTTGGGAAATCTCTCCAGCAGACGCAATCCATTGATCTGCACATATGCAGAAGAAGCCGTGATGAAACAGAGTAGATGTTTCTGATATTGTAGATAAATACATTCACTGGCAACTTTTTAGGTACATCTGCTTGACTGCCGATTAACGCAAATATCTCATCAGACAGTCGTCAGCAAGTCAATCCATGTAGGCAGGCAGGCAGGATGACCTGTTAAAGTTTGAATGAATGAGGAAGAAAGGTGATTTAAGAGACTTTGAATTTGACATAGCTGTTGGTGCCAGACAGCCTGGTCTGAGTATTTCAGAAACTGCTGATCAACCTGGATTTTCTTGCACAACCATTTCTAGGGTTGAGAATATTACCAGGGAGTTTCTGTTCTGTGGACCAAAATGTTTTGTGTCAGAGGTCAGAGGATAATGGCCAGACTACTTATAGCTAACAGAAGGGCAACAGTAACTAAAAACACAACAAAACAAAACACGTCTGACAACCAACATCTTCCGAAGAGCATCTCTAAATCCACAACCCATCACAACCGTGAAGCAGATGAGGTACAGCACCAGAAGACCACACTGGGTGCCACTCCTGTCAGCTGACAACTGGTAAGTTGAGGCTACAAATCCAGGTTACAAAAGATTCAAAAACACTGATTGATCTCCTACACTACTTGAAAACATACCATTAAACTGGTATAATTCAGGTTGCTGTTGTTGGTTTAATGGTGGGAAGATATTTTCGTTAGGTTTCCTAGTAGCTGAGCATTGTTTAAATGCCACAACCTACTTGAGTATTATTGTTGACCCCTTTTTATGACCACCGTGCACACATCCTCTGGTGACTGCTTCCGGCAGGTAACACATCATGTCACAAAGCTCAGACCATCTCAAACTGGTTTCTTGAACATAACAATAAGATCACTGTACTTAATCCAATAGAGCACCTTTGGGATGTGGTTGAACGCGAGATTTGAATCATGGATGCGTAGCCAATAAATCTGCAGCATATGCATGATATGACTGACGCTGTCAATATGGACCAAAATCTTTGAGGAATGTTTCCAGCACCTTGTTGAATTTATGCCATGAAGGACTAAGTCAGTTTTGAAGGCAAACGGGAGTCTAACCCCATACCTAACAGTTGCAAGTGGAAATGAGCCTATGTCATTGTACAAATCTACACATCAGTCAGGTATTCATAGTAGAAACATGTGTAATCTTCAACATTTAAATGCCTTCAAATAATTCAAGCTGGAATTCTATTCATGTGAAGGACTCCTGCTTCCAAACCATCAGATCAGAGAACAACTCCTAAAAGCTTTGAGGATAATGTGTGCGCCTGTCTGGATTAACAGTGATTTTTTTTCCTAGCCACTCTCCAATGGTCCCAGGGCCTCAGAATTAACTTTGTACCACGCTAAATATTCCCATCTCCATTTGATTATGAAAATTCAGTGTTAGATGCAGCCCAAAAACAAAAAGAAATTCAGTTGTATTTTTTCACAGTACAGTAACACATGAAAGTGAGATTTCAAAGAAACAACCGAGAAGCTTAAACAAAGGCAAGAAAAGCAAACATAAAAGGTATCAAAAGATATGTTTACTTTATTCACTGTGCCAAATCTAGAACTGAAAAGTAAAGACAACATCTCGCAGCAATATCTAGACATTGTTTTGTTCGGATATTCATCCATCGTAAAGGTAAAATGGTAAAAATGGCCTGTGATTTAAAGCTAATACAAAATTAAGAATCCATTTTTTAAATTTAAAAAAATCCATGTATATTCCCACGTATTTTAAAACAGGAAACATTACCATATTATCTAGAGAGGAATATCAATTGATATGGTAATTAGAGATTTTTTGTCACAATAATATTATGGAGGCAACATGAAGTGATAATAGCAAATTATCACCCAGCCTCTCCACTATGTGTGGATAAGTGCCAAGCAGCAGGGAGTCTAGTGTTCACATTAACAGCATACCAATGTCGCAAATAGCCTTTACACCTTTACACAAGCACATCTGCTTTCTGACAACTTCCCAGTGCATCTTCCATTTAAATTTGGAGGGCTAGCATAGAGCAAAGAAATCAGATGTGAATCTCAGTAGATCATTTAAAGGTGTATTTAAAAAAAACCCTGATGCAAAATAGCAAAAAACAATCTAGAAATGAAATGAGTGAAAAATAAATACTGAGTAAGCAAGCAAGTAGCAGTGTAGCAGGTTCTTTGACCAAAACATAGTGTTACAAAGATAATACAGAATATTTACCGGATTCGAGCCTCAGCTTTAGTAGCTGCCTGGTTGTACTGTTCAGCCGTCTCCTTGTAGTTTTCAAAACTCTGCAGGCAAAGAGACAAAGTAAGAAATACGAGAATGAATTCAACAGTGTTTCATGGCTCAAAAAAAGCTTCTCCGGAGGCTGCATTTAATGATACTAGAACTTGTTTCCAAGGCTTAGTATAACTTAATGTTCAGATCACACAATTACAAAACAGAAAAATCAAAACAGACTACATTAAAGTCCACAAATCAAGTGCCGTGAATTATAATCTACATAATTTTACCACAATTACAACTACCTTTTCCAATTTAGTACAAGCTTTAAAAGCCAGCAACGATAAGAAAAATGCATAAAACAACATTGGAAAATGTCACATTCATTAAATTAGTGACCTTTGAATTTTACAGCCTGCTTACAAATCTGAATGTTGATAGTCTGTTAGTACTTCGTGTTTTTCTTTCTCTCATGTGACAAACTGTGGCATTTAAATAAAGTTACATCACAAATTGATCTTGTAACTAGAGCCAGGTCGCATACAGTACGCCTTTGTAATCAGTGGTCACAGTGCTAACTGTACAGCATCGTGGTCTAAATGAGCAGGAAATAGCAGAAAGTTAATAGAAAACAACCCCCAGTTGCCTTTCACACACGTTTTATGCAAATCTTCCTGCTCTGTTTTCACAGGGATTCAAATGGACACACACATTCCTTCGAACCAGGCAGCTGTTAATTTACAATCTGTTAAATGACTGGATATCTGCATACTTATATGTACCTCTATCAGTTATGTTGAGGAACTTTCCCGTGTGTGCTTGTGTGGGAAAAAGTCTCGAGTACATTTAAAATCATCATCTCAGTAAGACGTAGGATCACCTGGCAGGCTTTGCGTCGAAACCTCTGAAATACAGTTTGTCTAGAATACCCCAAACACAAAGCAAATCTCTGTAGCCAAACCTCTCGTACGCATTCAGTGAGCAGTAATCGCCATTTTAAACCAATAACCGCGGTGCTCCGGCTTTTACTTAATTATTCCCCATATTCCCAAAAGACTGGGTGATAGGAGAGGAAGATAATTGAAGTGATGGAGTAGAGAAGAGATGGGATCAAACACAAACCTCCCCCACAATCCCTAGTCCTCTACTCCTCCAGTGCCCCCTAGTCATTTTCTCATCTCATTATTTCAAGCTGATGTGCAGACATGCAATTTCTGATCTGAATGTCTGGTGTTGGAACTGAATCAAGTAATGTCATAGGCATCTTTTCCTTAATCCTATCTTTTAGTATTCACTACGGTGTAATAATCTGCTTCTCCATTATCTTCATCCCTGTTCTTTAAAGAAAAGATGGAAAAAAGCAGTCATAAGTCTTGTAAGGAGGAGGATATTTCAAATCAGCACCAACTTTGATGAGGTAGTGAAGCTGTAGGCACCAGATTTAGACAAGAATCACCTTTTATATGGGATTCAAAAAGATCCATTATAAATATGATAATAAATCAATTCAGCACATACATTTCCTTTTCCAACCACAACATTTTCAAACACACCTAACAGTAGCTAAGACAGAAATGTGGACAATGCAGAGGTGCATAAACATGCTAATGTAAATGTAGCTACACTTTACCTCCCCTATCTGCCTGAGTTTATGTTTGGGCTGCACAGTAACTCAAAATGTGAAAATGCCAAACATCCCCAGGTGTATGACTGCCAGTTATGCTTCCTAGCTGTGCTATATTGGATTATCCAGGACAGAACTCAGGATTAGACTCCTCTTGTCGCCATGTCTCTCCTTTGCCAGTATATGACTAGGTTTAAATACCATACCTTGACAGGGATGGGGGAGTAATAACTCCAACTCAAAGGTTTCAAGTCAAGCATATTTCATACCACCATCCTGTACTTTTGAAAGAAGAGACATTTTCAGACCTCTGAACTTCTGCTCAGATGTTTTATTAATCTACTAAGCATAAACCATCACTAATAAATGCCATAATCTGACAGTACTAGCAACCAGTCCCTGAATTCATGGACATTAAAGACTCATTTTTTGCTGGAGTGAAGCTACTACTTTGGTTCACCCTTTGGGAATATTGTGGTAAGAACTTAGTCTCCCATTAGTGGCTTAGCCCTTAGCCTCAGGTCAATGGGCTCAATGGACAGACTCGGAGGAAGGCTGAGCTGAAACTTGAAAGTTTATGGTTCCCTTGTGGGACATCAAGTGTTTGAGCCAAGATATAAAAAAAAATAAAAAAAATGATGTCTCCACAGGGGCTTAAACCCATGGGTGTCTCTGATTATGCAGGACAAAGAGAGCTGGGCACCAGAAAGAGAAGCAGCAAGTAGATGGTTTAAAGGTAAAGTGAACTTGTTGCTGACAATGAACCTTTTTTGTAGCAAACATTTTAACTTGTAACAGTGAGGACAGCACTGGTAGAGCTCATCTCCATCAAGTGTCCAAGTCAACTCAATAAAACAGATGCACAATAGCAGGACCTTCCTTAAAGGGACTGCAGACTTTAAT